TAGACTGCCGTCTGTACACCCTGTTAGTTTGAGTTCAGACTTCACATTATTTTCGTACTTTTATTTCAAACACTTCACAGCACTGTATAGTATTTACGAGGTGGTTTATTCGTGACTGGTACACTAACAGGTAATGTAAACACATGCGGAATGTATAATGGATAAACACCGGCACTGAATTTTCCACAGAAGTGCATCATTTCAAGTCTCCATACTTAGTAAAAGCAGAAAATCAATGAAATCACAATAGGGGCAAACGTACAGGAGAAAAAGTAACTAGATGGAGAAGTATGGGGATTAAAGGAATGTAGAGGGAATACATCTGCGCCATTGTTCACAATTTTGAGTCATATCACCTATAGTCTCAAACTATTGGTCTTTAACATCTTGAGAATCCCAGCCAGACAATATACATGGCTGATACCATGCGTGGCGCATTCTAGCCAACCCAATAGATGCAGCTTCCCAGCCTTATCGATTGACTTCTCTTTACCTAGCCTTATTATTGCTGATAATTCCCCACCATCTTTGGAGATATGTTCTTTTGGTTTAACTTGACTCTTAGACACTGAGTTCCTGGTTTGAATCTCACTCCACTTCACCATCTTAATATGATTACGCTCAATAAAATGTCTTCGAAAGAATACTTCGTCACTATACTTTTTGCCCAGTGAAATCAATCTATGATGGAATTAGCCCCCTTCATCCAAAAGCTGAACACCAAGATTTTACAGCTACTTTCTAATTCTATTCTATTCTAGCCGAAAAATCTGACACCCGTAAGGTGAATTTCTCAGATTTGCCCTGTTGACCAAGTGGGGTTAACTGAGTAACCACACTTGGGTCTTGCAATGCCTGTCTCTGAAACACAATATATATGCATGGCTCGAGATGCCAGAGTTCTGACTGGTGATGCTTGTTGTCCGATTTGGCAGAAGCTCCTGACGTTAAATGCCTCAATATGAAGTAGGTAATGTGGCTTTAAGAGACCATCAGTTTGTTTCCGGCTGTCGCTGCTGTTATTGGTCGTAGAGTGAGGAGAAGATGGAGGACCTGCCTGTTGAATATTACTATCAGTAGGATGAAAGCGTGATGATGGTGACGTAGATAAAGGGTGGGTGATGATCAGGAGAGCTTTGTGTACTTCTGGAAGTATGTGAGTGATTGTTACTTCCGAGCTTCCCACACCGTGGAAATAGATTTTTTCTTTGGATACCTGAAACATAAAGAGAATTAGTGTTGCGTGACCGCAGAGCCCAGGGAACAATTGCTTGAGGCTGGTCACACACTACCTGTTTAAACTGGTTATTAGGGTTGCGTCCGTATTAACAACTTACCGCCGTAGAGTCTTCTGAACACCTTGAGCAGCAATCTTCGTAGAGTAAGTCAGGATGTACCACTTTGAGGTCGACTTTTGTAACCCCCCTCTCCAGAGTGGTGAGGCAGCATAACTGGCATTCCAGTCATCTGACGGAAACTCCTTACTGCTGTTACATCCCTGTTCGCCGACAGTCGTACAACTTAGCCCACAGACCCCTAGCACAGTATAAACAACTTAAACCTTGCTGCTAACTGCTTTTTGTCTAATCGCCATCCTAACAACCATTCTGTCATGGTAGGTCTTCTGGGGACCTTAGTTCCAGACAGTGTAACTCGTTGGTTCATTGGGATATGCAAGCTCAACCACCATGTCAAAATAGCAGCTATCGGTCTGGTCTGTTGCTTTCTCATAGCTGTCACTGGAGTCAGCTATCAAAATCTGTCGAATCTATCTGTAAATATTCCCAGCTCCTAGTCAACTTAATCAGTAGGTCTACCTCTGATTGCTTATAATGTAACTTCGTTACTCCACGATGACATACTGGTTACTAGTGTTTCGTTCGCAGCTACTAGACATCCTATACTGAAATTAACGGAGGGTCCTATAGCAAATATTTAAAAGGATATCGTATCTTACATTCGGATTGCTAAAGAATATTTGTTATTAATGAGGAAACAATATCTTGAAAATATGAGAGATGTGGAAATTGTCTACGACGTTGATCTACGGCTCATAGTTAGTTAGGGAAGTAGATGCGTCTATCGCATGTTCACCCCTCGTTATTTGTTAGAACACCACATATCCCCATGGTGATTTTATTCCCTAGGTGGTAACTAGCAGTTATGTCCAGATGACGAGTTTCACATAGGACAGAACACTCGTTCTCGATTCCACTACTACACTGTAGACTATTATTATTATTATTATTATTATTATTGATCCTTTAATTCCTACAGAAACGTAGAGCTTCAGCCGTGCGTCTCCATTGCGTTCTGTTCTCTGCTAGTCTTCACCTGGCTCCATGTCTGCCCACACGTTTTCATCTCCTCTTCACATGACCTCCTCCAAGTCACCCTTGCACTGACGACCAACTCGCCGCTTCCCTTTCGGGTTCCACTCAAGGGCTTGTCTAGTGATGTCACTTGATGGTTTCCTCGGAGTATGGTCAGCCAATCCATCTCCATTTCTTCCTGCCTATTTGTTTCACAATCGGTTCCTGGTTGGTTCGCTCCCAGAGATCCCTGTTGCTGATCTTTCCTGGCCATCTGATCTTGAGTATTGAGCGAAGACAACTGTTAATGAAGCTGTGTAGTTTGTTTGAGATGCTCTTTATGACGCGCCAAGTCTGTGATCCCTATAGTAGCACTGACTTCACATTGGAGTTGAAAATCCGGATCTTATTTTTGATACTGAGTTTTGTTGACCTCCACACAGACTTGAGAGTAGTGAAAGCTTGTCTTGCTTTTCCGATTCTTGCTTTGATACCCTCGTCAGTTCCGCCTGTAGTTGAAACGATGCTTCCCAGGTCGGTTGGTGAAGGAGGTTGTTTCTTTCAGGTTCCTCCTATTTATTCTGTTGTTATAGTTGTTGTTGTTGCTGTTGGCCAGGAATCTTCATCACCTCTGTTTTCTCTATGTTCACCTGAAGTCCTATCTTTGATGCTTCTTCTGCTAACTTGTTGCTTTTCGCTTGCATGTCTTCCAGTTTGTGGGAAATCAGACATATATCATCGGCGAAGTCAAAATCCTCCAAGTTTTTTGTGTGAGTCCATTTTATGCCTGTTTCCTCATTGCCCGCTGTTTGTCGCATTATCCAGTCTACTGCAATCAAGAAAATCATTGGCGATAGTAGGCAGCCTTGTCTTACTCCTGTCCTCACTTTGACAGATTATTTATAACATTTTATCTGATTACAATGGAATACTTTCTCATTTGACATTTCTAGACAGAGAGACCCTTGGTGATAGCAGGTTCAAATATGAGCGATTAACTACCTCAAGAACCAAACATGTAAATATAATCACTAATCCAGATTACCCTGCACCTCTTCAAATTCCTAACTCGTTCTGGTACATAAATTCTAGTTTAAATAGTACAACTCGGTATTATCTGTCGAGTAAATTGGACTGGTAGTTTTTTTTAAAAATTCATGAAAAATCCCCATTCCAACATTTATTGACAGAAGACCAGTAGTTCAGCGAAGAGTCTCTTTTCGGCGAATTCATTTTCATAGCTGTACAATCCCAAACACATATGGTTGTTTTGTATTTGTGTGTACATTAAATTTGCCAAATGAAAACACAATTAGATGAATTGGGGGTTGATATAAGAGGGTAGTAACAAAAGTGATGAGTTGTCACAATCGATTGTTAAAGAAGAGTTACGTAATAAGATGAATAGTTTGATGAAAGAGTTGTGCTCAGGGTATACATGGAAACAAAATAACTTACGGAATTACGCAAGAGTTTTAAGTAGTTAGAAAAATAAGCATACAAGCAAAAGTTAAGTCAAATCAATAAAGTTGTTACCATGATAGTAGAAGTGGTTGAATAATTTTCTTTTGTATGTATAGTTCTGGTTCTTCTAACTGAATGGCTAGGGCTTCTGCGATGCAAAGAAGACGGAAACGTATTGTCTTTGGCAGGTTTTTCTTCACTTTGTAGATTGCTTTGAAGGAGGAGTTTGTTGAGACGGAATGACCACTGGTGACGAGATATTCGATCATTGCACTCCTTATACAGCCACTACATCCTTTCTGAAGCTACGCTGGATCCTTGAATCCTTGAAACTTGTGATAACTTTCGACGATCCCCAGTCTCATTTATTTGAGAGTCAATGTGTAGCTGCATCGATCGAGATAACTGGGACACATTATGCGTTACAAGTTACCGTCTTTCTTGTCTAACGATATTGTCTGACATAGGACTAGTTTGAGGAAGAGTTAGGGGTAGTCATATCAAAATATGACATCAATCCATGAAGTCTTTCACTTCTGGTTCTGGACTTCACTTGGGTCCAGTAGACTCCAATGACTACAGACAGTTGATGGAGTGACTGAAAATCGGTCTTCATGTCTCCGATGCATTTACTTCAGATAATTCCAAAAATCCATTAAATTCATATTATTCTGTAAGTAATTATTCTTTCTCCCATATATTTCCCTTCATTATGATTCTTTTCTTTCTGCCGTGGTTATGATGTATTTTTTATTTTATTTTATTTTTTTTGATTATAGCTTAATTCCACACAGTATTTTCGGTATAAGTATGGAATTTTCAGCATGTGATATCCGTAGCCCATATTTTACAGGCCAACCATTGATATCAGGTGTGCGTCGGCAGGGGGATCGAACCCCAGACCATGTGCATGGTCGACGAGAGTCCTAACCATTATGCCACCGACGCACAACTTGAACTGCTACACTTTTGTGCAAAAGTTCTATGCTAAAAACTTAGTCAGTTTCATTTACCTCAAATTCACTGCATGAAAGCAATCGATTATAGCTTTTAGGCTTATTTGTTTCATTTTTGCGTGTATATTCTACATTTAACCTGTGGTGGTTCATAGGGACTTCTTGTTGTATAAATTGTTTTTTTTTTTAATGTATAAAGAATGTTATTTGTGTGCTTTTTGTTATTTCTGAATGTCTGTTAAACTGTATGTTTATATAATCTCTTCAGAATAAGAAATAAGTCTCCCACACTATATACTACATACCATATACATGGAACAGAAGAAGAAAACACAACCATCAAGCATTCCATTGGAGGTAGCACAAGAATATCCAGCTAAGCTTCTAGGTTTTGCACCTCTTCAACTTTCAGATGATTGTAAGTAATCTTAAAAATAATTCATTCCTTTAGTATACAATGTATTCATCACTTGCATAGAACAAATGATAGATAAATTTGGCGAGGAGATTATGGAAAAAGTTTGACTTTTATTTTCCTAAAAGAAATTATTAATCACTATAACTTTTCTATAGTTTGCATCAAGATTTAGAACAGAGAAAATTCAATCACTCATTTATCATCTAAAAGAAAAACTTGAACATCGTCTATCAGATATGTTTGACACATTTGATGTAAATTTTTATTATTTTTTTGGCTAATAAGTATTGACAAAAATTATTTTAGGTATTTTTAGTTAGCAAAGTGTTATATCTAAATCCTTCAGTAGTACTTAAAGATGATGAGCCTCAATTGACCTATTCTCAAAAAGCTGATGAAATTATTGGCGAACGCATTGAAACATACAGAAATAGGATTATAGTTGTAAGTTAGTTTTGCCTTTTTGCGTTTTGTTCTGATATCTTTCTTTTCTTTCAAATGTCTACAAGGCAGGCATAAATTAATAGCGTGCTGGTGCCGTTTATTTCGGTGTAATGATGGACTGGTTAACAGTCACCTGGAACGGTTGCTTTAATTTGTGGAGTAGGAGATTCTAATTGCTAATCAAATTATGATCTTCTTCAGGGATTTCTACATTTTTAAAAATCTCGATATTACTCATTGGCTTAATCCACTTGACTTTCGGTTATTTAGTTATGGGTTCGAGTTCCATTCGATCCACTTCACTCTGAGAGACTAGTTAGGATCACCAGCCGTCTCATAAGTCTGACGCATGAATAAATTTGTTCTGGTTAAATGAGTTATAATTAATTAGTGTACTTATAGAACACTTTTTGTATCTGCTGTTAATCTTATCTCTTCGGTCCGTGCAAATAACTCTGACGTTATTTATATACTGTATCAACCGACATGAAGTAAAAGCATACTAGTTATTTATTATTATTATTATTATTACCTTGGGTTCCGAGTGGAATATAAGGCTTCAACCATCACGTCTCCGTTTTGTCCTGTTCTCTGCAGTCTTTTTTAGCTGACCCTACAATCGCCCATAAGTTTTCGCCTCCTACTCACATGATTTCTGTTCCACATCATTCTCAAACTCCCAGCTCGTCATTTTTCATTCAGGTTCCACTCGAGCGATGGTCTGGCACTCTATGTCAACCAATGTTCCCTTCAGCGTTTGTACAATCCACCTCCTATTTCTTCGGTTATATTTGTTGAGTTGGTTCGTTCCGAGAGTTTATTGTTACTAATTCTTTGTAGCCATCTCATCTTCAGTATCGGGAGGAAGCAACTATTGATAGAAGTCTGCAGTAACCAGTTAGAACTTCTTTTCGTGACGTGCCAAATTTCTGCGTCATATAGAAAAACTAACTTGACATTGGTGTTGAAAATCCGAATTTTGCTTCTTTTTTCTGAGTGCAGAAGATTTCCAAATTGATTTACCTTTCCAATTCTAATTTTGACATCATTTGTTCCGCCGCCTGTAGTTGAAATGATGCTTCCTTGATAAGTGAAGAAAGTGACGTCTTTCAAATTTATTCCATTGATTGTGGTTAGTGCTTGTTGTTATTATTATTATTATTATTATTATTATCGATTGGCTATCTTCATCACCTCCTTTTTCTCTTAAAGCCCTGATTTTTCTTCCAACTTGTTGGTTTTCGAATTTATTTGACATTAGACGTAAATCATTCGAGAAGTCCAGATCTTCTAGAGCCTTCCCATCGACCCATTATGTTCCTGTCTTCTCACTCCCCCACAGTCTACCACAAATCCAGTCCACCACAATTAAGAATATCATCAGTGATAGTAAGCAGCCTTCTCTTACTCCTATATTCGCTTCAAAGGCTTTGCCGATTTCTCCGTTGTGGATTACCTGACACGTGCCACTGTCATATAGCTGTGGTTGAATGAGGTTGATAAAGATTTGAGTACTGCATGCTATAGTGCTGAAGTAGTTTCCAAATTACATTTCGGTCAACGCTGCTCTGTCGAAGGCCTTCTCGAAGTCGATGAAGTTGAGGTACACGTTCGACTGCCATTCTATTCTTTGTTCTGTGATGATGATGCGTGGAGTTGCAATTTAATTAACACATGATTCGCCTTTCCTGAATCCATGTTGTTCTGGTGGGTGGGGCTGAGCTCTGCATCCATTGCATCTTTTATTCTCTCCAGGATGATACGACTTAATATTTTACCTGGCGTGGATAAGAGTACGATTCCACTCGAGTTTTTGAAGCGACCTAAGTCGCTCTTCTTTGGCAGTTTGATAAGATACCCTTTTTTAATCCAATCAATAGGTACCTTTCCTTCCTTTCAAACTTTGTGCAATAGCGATGTGAGCATATCCACTCCAGTCTCTGCATCTGTTTTCAGTGCTTCGTGAGGAATTCCATGTGGCTCTGTCGCCTTACTGGACTTCCACGGCTTCTTTGCATTCAAGATTTTCACTTTTGTTGGAGAATTGCTGTCCACTGGCAGCTCTGTGCCCACTTTTGGTGGTTTTTCTGGACGAGTTAGAGGTGACGGTCGATTCAACAGTCCTTTGGAGTGATCAACCCATTGTTTTCTTTGTTACTGTTACTTGGTGATTAGGTTCTCTTGAACATCTTTTATTGGCTTCTTCATCTGCGTTGATCTTTTCCTAGATAGAGACCCCGTCATCTGACATAATGTTCTGGGTCTCTCTTACCTGCTACCTGTTTTGTTTCAGTTTTCAGTGTGTCGTAAAATCGTCTTTGGTCTTTCCTAACACTCTTCTTCACTTCTTTACTCAGTGCAGTGTACACTGAACTTAGCTTCTGCTTCTATTGTCCTTCTTTGCATTGAGTTATCTTCTCTATCGCCATCGTCCTCTCTTCCATTAGCTCCCAGGTAGGTGTCCGTTGACAGCCATTCCTTGTCTTGTTTCTTCTTTCTTCCTAGAGGAGTTGTACACGTTCCCTTGTACATCACCTCTAGAGAGTTAGTTCCAATGTTATTCCATGCAGATTTCCTCAGTAATACCACGTGGTGTCTCCGACTTTGCTCTGATGTCTGTAGTGAGGGTATCTTTTGTAGTTTCATCTTTCAGTTTCATAGTGTTGAACTTGAATTACAGTGGTCTGTCTCCAGTTATTCTGAAGGATTTTAGCTTCACCTTGAAGGTTGCTTGAACTAAATGATGGTGTGAGCCCACATCTGTTCCTCTTCTCGACTTTGTGTCCAGCATTGAGGTGAAGTCTATTTCCTTTCTGGTGTGTCCGTCAGGCGAAATCCATGTATATACTCAATACACGAGAAATGCACAAAGCTTAAGGAGTATAAGTGCCTTGGTTAAAGTATATTTATTTACTTATTTATTTATTTTTTTATTTATTTTTTTATTTATTTATTTATTTATCTATTTATTTATTTATACATTCCCTATCAGCTTAAAAGGTGTTTAACAAAAATTGAAGAAGAAACTGCTCAGATCAATTCACTTCTTGAAAATATACGAAATATGAAAAATAATATTAACCAAACTGTGGAAAAAGTATATGGCTTTAAATCAGGTATGTATATTTTGTTAGTGTAATCTTTTATTATTTTTTTAAACTCCTTTTTTTTAAAAAGCGCAACTGAGAGAGAAAGTCTAAAGGATTGATGCATATCTAACATCTAGGCTTTAAATATAACTATAGATTTTACTTTAAAGATTGTTAACCCCCTGCCCTGTTTTCTTCATTCCTCGCTTGGGGAGTGGCTTCAAGCTTTGAATTTTCAGTAGCGGTGGTGTTGCTAGCCTCACGCCTAACAACCTTTCTCTCTCTGTCCCGGGCTGACTACTGCCTAGCAAACTAGATGAAGTGTAGAGGTGTGTCGGCTGGATATGGAACTCCGAGCCGCCTGTGTAAGTTGGTGGGCATTCCACTCTTGAACCACTGACACCCTGTTATCCTGGTAGGCTGAAGTAAATAATTTTCAGTTGGTCATATTATATCCATGATGTTAAATTTTGTGTCGAAACATTCAGCGAATTCGATCAATGTTTTAACATTGTAAAGCTATGAGACAATCAGGATGACTAGATTAGATATTTCTGTAAACTTTTATTGTTCGTATGATTTTTATCCCACTACACACCTTCTTTAAGAATCCGTAGTCCTCTTATTCAATGTCTGAAATGTCTATCACATGGAGTAATAAATTTCTGGCAGACAATATTATCGTAATATATGTGTAAAATTTGGGCACTGTGGTAGTAAGTAATTCCATATTAGTTTGCTTATTAGATGTATCACACAGTGGAGAGACAGTATTATTTACTGGATAACATTTTGAACACAATTTATTGCTGTTCATAATCATATCAGTTATAATCACACGACTTCGAAACTTGAGTTTTATAGTTTTCTTTGTTCTCTCCTATTTGCCGTCGTTGATGTAGTAGAATTTTCCAGATGTCCACCTGGACAGGTGTTGAATCATTCCTATTACACGTGTTTGCACTTGATTCGATAAACAAAGCTCCCTCCACCCTGTTACATTAGATTTTAAAACTGTCATGCTATCCCATCCTATTGTATGGTTGTGTGCAGTTGAATGTAGTGCTATAGATGAACTATTCTCTAGATTTCATATCTTATTTAGGCCAACTAATCTAGATTTTGCTGGGGTTTTATGCTCCGCCAGTCTGACTACCTTTGTTCTACTACTTTCCCCCATGTATTTGACCTAACAATCATTCCAGCAGGGTATTAGGTAAACTAAATTGCTCCCTTTGGAAGACTCCACAGGATCCTTTAACCGACAAAGCTTGTTTCTAATTGAGTTTGTGGGTTTGAATGCCAGCCACTTTTATTCCTGTATTATTAAGAATTCTCCTTAAGGTTTCCGAGGTTCCTTCTTTGTACGGAATTACCACGGATGATTTAGATTCCTTATTGTTGGTGTTGTCATTATCTTCCGCATAATTGACATGCATGTCGTCATTAATATTACTATTATTATCACTATCACTAATATCATTATTTATTTTATTTTTATTTTTACATTTCCCTACATACTTTCTGACTAATTTATCAGGGTAATTGTTAAGTTTCAAAGCTTCTCTTATATGCCTCACTTCCTGTCTTAGATTTTCCTTGGTACTACTTAGTTTTTGTGCTCCATTACTTAGTCATTTCACCAATCCTATTTCTACTGACATAGGATGGGATGATCGGAAATGCAAATATCGGTTTGAATGTGTGGGTTTCCTGTAAACACTAATGTTCAACTTCCCATCTTCTTTACTTTTTACGCTACAATCTAACATTGGAAGTCCTCCTCGTGTCCTGACTTTTCAATTCATGAGTGAATTGAATTGCCTCCACCTTAGCATTAATCTGTTCGAAAAATCTACCTATATCCTGTGTTCTAAGTACAGTAAATGTGTCATCTACATACCTCCACCATACATTTGGCGTGGGCCTGAACGTTTCAATCGTTATGTTTTCCCATCTATCCATGAACATATCTGCACAACCGGGATATTGGTGACTTCATGGCAACTCCTTCAGTTTGTTTGTATATTTTCCCTTGGAATTCAAATACTGTGGAAGTCAGGCATAGTTGCACTCCCAGTATTATGTCCTCAAGTGGCACTTTTGTCCTAAGTTCGAGGTCTTGGTCAGAAATGAGTTCGTTTCTGACTGCCTCCATAGCCATATTTATTGGTATACGTGTGTATAAACTGACAATGTCAAAACTAACCATTTTTTCTTCATTATCTAATTTTAAATTATCTAATCTATGTTTTAGTTCATAAGAATTAGTTAGTCTGGATTTCGAGTGGATTTTTAGGGGATTTTTGCCAAAAACTAATAACCCCAGTAGGATGTATGGTGTTGTTAAAGTTCATAAGTCAGGATACCCTATTAGGCCTATAGTTGATTTTAGAAATTCACCTACTTATGAATTATCTAAATATTTAGCCATGGTATTAAATCCCCTAAAAATCCACTCGAAATCTAGACTAACTAATTCTTATGAACTAAAACATAGATTAGATAATTTAAAATTAGATAATGAAGAAAAAATGGTTAGTTTTGACATTGTCAGTTTATACACACGTATACCAATAAATATGGCTATGGAGGCAGTCAGAAACGAACTCATTTCTGACCAAGACCTCGAACTTAGGACAAAAGTGCCACTTGAGGACATAATACTGGGAGTGCAACTATGCCTGACTTCCACAGTATTTGAATTCCAAGGGAAAATATACAAACAAACTGAAGGAGTTGCCATGGGATCACCAATATCCCCAGTGGTAGCAGATATATTCATGAATAAGTGGGAAAGCATAGCGATTGAAACGTTCACCCCCACCTCAAAAGTATGGTGGAGGTACGTAGATGACACATTCACTGTACTTAGAACACAAGATATAGATAGGTTTTTCAAACACATAAACTCGAAGGTTGAAGCAATTCAACTCACTTATGAATTGGAAAATCAGGAAGGGGAGCTCCCAATGTTAGATTGCAACGTAAAGAGGAAAGAAGATGGGAAGTTAAACACTAGTGTTTACAGGAAACCCACACACTCAAACAGATATTTGGACTTCCAATCATCCCATCCTATGTCAGTAAAAATAGGATTGGTGAAATGTTTAAATGACAGAGCACAAAAATTAAGTAGTACCAAAGAAAATCTAAAACAGGAACTGATACATATAAAAGAAGCCTTGAAACTTAATAATTACCCGGATAAATTAGTCAGGAAATATGTAAGGAAATGTAAAAATAAAAATAAATAATGATAGTAGCGATAGTGATAATAATAATAATAATGACGACACCAACAATAAAGAATCTAAATCATCAGTAGTAATTCCATACAAGGAAGGAACCTCGGAAGCCTTACGCAGAATTCTCAACAAGGCAGGAATAAAAACGGCATTCAAACCCACAAAATCAATTAGGAACAAGCTTTGTCGGCTAAAGGATCCTGTAGAGCCTTTAAAACAAAACAATTTAGTTTATCTAATACCCTGCAATGATTGTCAGGTCAAATACATAGGTCAAACTAGTAGAACAAGAGCAGTCAGACTAGCTGAACATAAAAATTTAGCAAAATGTAGATTGGTTGACCCGAATAAAATAAGAAATCTAGAGAATAGTTCAGCTATAGCACTACATTCAACTGCACACAACCATACAATAGGATGGGATAGCATGACAGTTTTAAAGTCTAATGTAACAGGGTGGAGGGAGCTTTGTTTATCGAATCAAGTGCAAACACGTGTAATAGGAATGATTCAACACCTGTCCAGGTGGACATCTGGAAAATTCTACTACATCAACGACGGCAAATAGGAGAGAACAAAGAAAACTATAAAACTCAAGTTTCGAAGTCGTGTGATTACAACTGATATGATTATGAACAGCAATAAATTGTGTTCGAAACTGTGTCATCCAGTAAATAATACTGTTTCACTGTGTGATATACCTAATAAGCAAACTAATATGGAATTACTTACTACCACAGTGTCCAAGTTTTACACATATATTAAACTAACATTGCTTGCTCTTTCCTGTGTTTGGATTTGTCAAAGTAAACTACATATCTCTGTTGACATCAGAACATTCGCTAGTATAAACAACTATAGTTTTACTGCATATCAGTAGAAAAATAACAACAAGATGTTGGAAAGTATTCGCGTATTTTGACACTTCTTTAATCCTTTACCCCATTGGCATAGTAGTTTCGTTATTCAAATCCTAAGTATTATTATTCTCCCTTGGGTTCTGGGCGGAACATTGGGCTTCAACAGCACATCTCTATTTTTAACCATTTTCTCTGCAGACCTAATTATCTGGTTCCATAATTTCCCTAATGCTTTCACCCCGTCCTCATATTGTTTCCATATCACCCTCAGATGTCCAACTTGTTTCCCATCGGCGTCCCATTGAAGAGTGTGACACGTGATTTCACCCGATGGTCTCTACACTTTGTGTCTGTGTTTCATATCCATTTCCTTCGGCATATCTGGTGGGCAATCGGTTCTTGGTTGGTTTGTTCCTAGAGACCCTGGTTTCTCTACTCCTTTCTAACCAACCAGCCATCAGATCTTCAGCGTGGAGTCAGCAAAGACAGCTGTCGATGAAAGTTTTGCAGCAGGCTGTCTGTTGGAAATGCTTTTCATGACACACCAAGTCTCTGGACTTAACATTAGTGTTTATTTTGTATGTTAAGCCTCACATATTATCTAAAGAGAAATACACTTTAGAGATCTGATAAAGTCCGTGTAAGGTAGATAGATAGATAGATGGATAGATGGAATTAATTAGTTTTGTTTAATCATTATTAATTGTTATATAATCAACGCAAAGATGAAGTAATCACTGCAGTTTATGTTTTCCCTTCATAGTTGATGATTTATGCTTTTGTGTTAATGAACGGAATCGATCTATAAAACGATTATGCAGCGCTCTAACCTCTCGTGAAATTTCAACTGATAGTCATAGTGTTCTTCAAAGACAAAAAACCACCTCAAAAGAAGAGAAGCAAACAAAATAACCAATAGTTTTTTATTTTTCCCTTTCCTGTGTAATTGTTTGAATAGCATAACGTGTATATATTGTTTGTTTTGTTTGTTTTTTTCCTTCACGTTCCCTAGTGGAACATAGGGCTTCAAGCTAGTGACTTGAAGTTTCTGTAGCAGTGTTTATTTTACAGGATGGGGTTGCTAGCCTCATGCCCAACCTTTCCTCTTCACCAGCATTACTTCTGGCTTAGCGAAGTAAAGGAGTGCGTCGGCCGGAGATCGAACCCCGGACCATGTGCATGGTCGGCGAGCGTACTAACCGCTATGCCACCGACGCACAACGTGTATATATTGTGCAATAAAAATGTCTACCTAATCATAATGCATGTTTAACAGCTTTAGGCCAGCTTGAAACTTTTTTCTAATGCAAAAGTTTTGTTCATGTATAATTTTTTCTTAAGTGTTTCTGTGTTCACATTGTGTGTTATTGTATTAAAATCAATAAAAGCTGAAAATTATCTTTTGACTTTTTGATGAAATCTGAATAGGTTAGAGGATTTTATCATGACGTGACATGACTTAAGGAGCTATTAGAGAAAGCCTGCAGGGAGTACTGGACAGATTTTTTGTCCTAGCTTGGGACTCTTCAGCACTACACACCCACACCACTGGAGTTCGAACCCAGGCCTTTCTGGTCACAAGGTTACGAGGTCGTAGACCATTCAGCCACTGGGACCCGATCCAATGACCAGTCCATGAATTCCAACTTCTACCAATTCATGACATAGCGTGACCACTCCGCAGTGAATAACCGGAAGTATACATCTGACTGTTGATCAATGGATACACATATGTGTATGTGTATTACGCAGCGACTCGCCCTGTGCTTCTTTATGTCGGTGAGATATAGCCATGGAAAGTGGAAGATATGAAGAGAATGGTTGTCTTTGACCATAGTTGTATACGTTCTATCTCTTGTGCCCAGTGCTTTAACATGATGAGTAATATTTGGGCTAAGCGTAGTGTTGTGTTGGTGAATCGATTCAGATACCTTGAGTGCATGTTATGCATTCCGAGCCACCGTCTTGCTTGATAAGCAAGGTTAGCTAACATCAGATTAGGTTGAGGTGTTAGGGATTGTGAAATCAAAACCTGGTATCAGTCGAGGAAGTGTATAACCGTTTGTTTGAGTAATGCTGTAATATGTAGACAGACTGGTTGGGAATCTTGAGAAACCAAGAACCAATCAATGGCTTGAGACTTTTGGAGATAAGTTCTCAATAAAGCTTATGCGTTCACTTTTCTTTCTCTTGTACCTTTCTGCTCATTGAAGTACTATTAGTGACAATGACAATTTGAAAGACATCTTTTAACTTATCAGTATGCATGCTTCTACATCCCATCTCTCATGTTAGACAGTACGATAACATGAGTAATATGGAGGTTAAGCGTCGAGTCTTAGAGAAGGAACATTTCTGATTGACTTTGGAACTGAACGTAACACGTATTTTAAATAATGATTGTGATTGTGTATCTTCCAAGTGTGTTATCTTCCAAATTAACTGTAGTTTAAATGGTTATATTAAAAATCTTTGTTTTTCTGAAATGTCAAGTTTATCAGTAGACTGAACTTTTCATTAAAACACTGTGAAATCTTAAAGGCCCCACATACATACCCTTATGATGATAGTATTTCAAGAAACTTGCATTCTCAATCGTTTGTGAATTTTGCGAAGTTTTTACAAAAGATTAAAGTTCAAGCTGGTCCACATAAGCATAATTGTTAGCTGTTATTAAGAAATACACTCGGGCACAACACTGAGCACTTCGGATTGATGTAGGACATCAGATAGGCATTTTGAATCTCCTCAAAATAAATAAACAAGCTCAAGCCTCTTGTAATTCACAGAGGATTACATCACTATCACGAAATGGCTAAAACCTGTTGTAAGTTTTCGTCTACCTTGATTATTATTCGCCTTCTAAATTAAATTGATTATATCATCTCTTATTAGATATAAATATTGATTTCTTTTCATCCTAACTTTGAACAAAGCAAGAACTACAGTTTTAGCAGAATAAAGTGGTACCATCTTTTATTTCGTTGCCTTCTCGTCAGCTGCTTGCAGGGCAAAGACATTATTAAATGTATCTACAAAAACAATTTTAACATACTTGCACAAAGTTCGTTTTAAACAAAAAATCAATCGATCAATATACGCATACACTAATAACTTATACATATATGTATGCAATATTAAACACTATTCCGAACAATAATAATCATACACAATGAAAACTTTTCAGCATTTCGCATTCGGATGAAAAATATCCAGTTACCAGGGCAAAGAAAGACTGATAACCGCTTCTTTCTGAACGCATAAATCAGGTTTCAGGCGCTTGATGGAAATGGCTTCAGCAAACTTAAGGAGAATTGAGCTCTTTTGCTTATTGATAATTTTGAACGACTTTTCGACGTCCACCTCATGACCCGTGTTGAGGAGATGCCTGGCGATGACACTGTTTAAAGCATTTGTTCCCTTTAGACGTAAAATGTTTGGTACATGTTCAGAAAATCGTAGATATTCCCTTCTTTTTGTTCTTCCAATGTAACTGCTCCCGGCAGATACATGTAAATTTGTATATACAGTTGGAGTTAACATGAGAAGGATATCTATCGATTTTTGATTGCATCAAAGAGCAAGTTGTTACATCATCATTTATTAAACCTTATGCTTCATATGTCTGATATCTAACGAAGTGAACTTAACTCATCACAATGTTGTTGTTTTTTCTATTCTATTTGCTTATTGACAATTTTCTCACGACTTGTATACTATTCTAATTTATGTTCATTAATATATCTTGTTGTCACCCTTACTCCCCGCTTTCTTTCTTTTTTGGAGAACCTTCAGTTGCACTGCATACATATAATTACATCAACATTTTATTATGGCGAAAATATTCATTCAGACATCTATAAAAACACAAAATAATTGAGCAAAGAATATCTTTTTCGATAATTTCCTCTTCTGGTTCTACAATTATATATATGTTTATATCCTCTTTTGCGTTCGGGTGTAAAAAAGAAACTGCCTAATTTCGTCTCTTCCATGTGTATCTACCAATTTAACTGCTCCTGTGGAATGAGCCAGTTACATAGGCCGTACAATTAGGCGTGTTTCTCGTCGGATTTCTGAACATCACCCTGCTTAGTGGTGGTTAAGTAAAGGACAAACAAAATCTATTCGTAGTGCTATTCTATCTCATCTTGTGGATACAGAACACAAGATTGACGTTAACCAGGCTTTCAGAGTCATTTACCACATACCAACAAATCTTAACTTTGCCTTAAGAGTTCGATTACTAAATATTGCTGAGGCTGTCTGTTGGGATACACAATAAGAAGCCCAATTTTTACGTCCAAAAGAAGCTAGTTTAGACATTATCCTTACCTTGGCCATCTAGGTTTGAATGATCCTCAGTTTTTGTGGAAATTCCCCTAATTTTAGTTGATATTCTATTTGCTACTATATCTTTATTATTATTATAATTTAGGCATCTTTCATGAACTGTAATTCCATTGATCATACTTAACAAATCAATGTTATTTAAAAACACTGATATTGTTATTGACTACTATTCTATAATATTCTATGTATATAAACATATATATGTATATAATTGTAGAGCCAGAAGAGGAAATTATCGAAAAGGATATTCTTTGCTCAACATTTTATTAGCCTGACATTTCTATTATCCTCCCAAGACCATGATCATTCTTAATTATTGTCCGACACTGCATTTCCAGGAAGGTATGGCACGTCAAAATTGTAATAAAACTGTTAACTTTCATTATTCAGGTTGTAAGCGGTTGACAAGATACTCATGGAGGAGATAAAATGAACCTTGTTTCATGTTGAATCTAAAGGTTTATGGTTAGTTACATCTCATGATTTCTCGCCCACTAGAAAGGTGGATGAGGGTAGTTTAATGAAACCAACAGAAAACAGCACCAAATAAATTCCACTCTAGTATCACATCGCCAACTAGGATTAAACTATACTAATTAGTAACAAAATTTAGTGAGTAATAAAAGAAGAAACAGAACACGTGAAAATACATTGCCCAAGACAAATCTATATATGTGTGTTTATATTATTTTTGGAATAGCTGCTCTAACATATGATTCAATAAAACCTGCTTGTTTTCCTCGTAAAACTTTGAAAAGGCCTTTATCACCCCATTGTTCATTCCATGAGTTAACACACAACCAATAGGGTAAATTGTCTTCATAACCCCAACCAATTATTCGTATAGTTATCCAGCCAAAATTAGACGAATTTGGTGATGGAAAATAAACTCCTGATGTATAATTTAGAAGGTCTACATTTGCAGAGATACTTGCTATCACTGGTCCATTCATTAGAATCTCCTTTTGAATATCTTCTGCATCATCTTCGACGGTGTAGAATTTCTCACCTAATCAAATAATATCAAAATAGAACAATTAATAGTAAACAGTTGATTGGAATGTGGGTAAGGTTAAGTTGCATGACCTTAACATATATTTTGAGCGTAAAGCCCAAAACCATCTTTCGGGATAGTATTACGATGCGACAACCCACAATTTCAAGGAAGCGTACTATCACCACGGCAGATGCCGGGTTTTCTCAACATCCATCAACTCTAACATGACGCTCCAAAGCCGGAAAAGGCGTATATTTCACCTTCTCGAGCAACTAGGGCCTGACAGTGTCGTGGGCCGTTCATAGGACCCTAATCCACGACTTTTATTTCAAAGATGCGGATCATTTCGGTGAACAACAGGCCATAATTCCACCAGTATTCATGACACCAGTCATAGCTACATGTTAGTGCCACTATCCTAGCAGAACTGGAACCTGCCGCCGCAATTGTTATTTGCTACGGTAATACTCGGTCTCACAAGTGGTTCATGATAAGGATTAACGCATGTTGTAGTGTTTAGTCATAGTTACTCCCACCATTTACCCGCGCTTGGTTGAGTTTC